CAGGTGGATCCCCAATAGGTTTGGAGACTGCAGTATATCCCAAAGGATCGCTTGTCCTGAAGAGGTTGTTAAATCCAATGTAACCATGGGCACCACCGCTTTGCTGCCATCATGATCTATGCTCAGAACTGAAAAACCCGCCTGTGTAAATGCACGAGAAAGGGACCCTCGTCCCGCAAAAACTTCCACAATTAATGGAACGTTTAAATTCTGCAAAAGTGAAACGTCATCCGGACCCCGTCAGTCTGAGTGGTTGCATAGGTAAAACGGCTTGGGCCGATAGCAACCTTTCTTGTAACATTTATGATATCCACGAGCGCACCGTTTTCCCGGGGGTCCTTTGAACTTGCATTTGCCTGACTGGTAGGCAAAACAAAGGGGGCGCTTGTCATCATCATGTGTAACACAGCCATCAGGCAGCTGTGCACGTGGTCCTGGGCCTCCTGAGCCACTTTTGCCTTTGCCCTTGCCCTTTGAGGGATTCTCTGTTCGCGCAACCTTTGAAGGCCTGCTGTCTGCTGAAGGCGGGGGATCATGAGCTCTCTGCAAAGGCAGGGGCGTGAGATACTGCAAAATCTCAGTAGTGTCCTTCAACTTCGAAAAGGTTTCATCCAAAGGTTTCATCCCCTGAGGATCAGCTGACAGTCGCCCCATGGTGATATGAGATGCTTGTATGAAGAGCTGCTTGTCACAATCCAGAAGCTGCTGGAGCGTGATCTTGGAGAAACCTCTTGGCTGCTCTCGCAGTAACTGGGTAAAGAGGAATTGGGTCCAGCACTCCATAACATCGAATGAGGCCAAACCGGCCAGATCCATTGCTAGGTTCCTCCGTTGCCATGCAGCTCTAAGCTTGAGCTCTGTGCTGGCATCACAAGTTGGGTCAGCGCTCTTTGCACCCAACTTAAGTAGCCCAGCCGCATCAGTGGATACTGATGGATCCTTCTTGACCATCTCAACTTCCTGTGCTCGATTGCAACAAGCTTCCGGTTTCACATATACCAGTATACCTGTTTCAATCATATCAACGAACAGATCCACCAAGTGATTCGACGGTATTGTCGTCGGATTGAAAACCAGTCCTCCTAGGCGACCTTCTTGAGCTTTCTGCCTTGCAATTCTCTCTGCTGTAGGCAACTTCCGAGTTGGTACCCCAGGGTCAGGGTTACTTTCTGCTCTTTGCCTCACATCTGTGAGGGCCATGGTGTGGCTCTCGAAGAACAATCGTCTGAGAGACGACATCTGATCACTGCTAGGCTCTTCGTCCAAAAGCTTTGTCATGAACTCACGCAAGGGAGTCTCATCAGCACTGCTAGGGGCATACGAAAAACCAAAAGCAAATTTGCCAAATGTTGCAAATCGTTTCTCTCTGATTTTATCGACCACCCATGGTTCAAGACCGACCTGCTTTGCGCGGTCAGTGAACGCAGCTTCTGAATCCAAGGTCGATGACATCGCGGCTCAGCAACGGAAAAATTTTCCGTTAGTTTAGGTGGCAAGTAAAACCATATTCAAAGTATTCACCTGAAACTCATTGCAAGTATATAAAACTCCTAAATGCAAAAACTTGAAATGACTTCAATGCACAACGCACCCCATGTTCCAACATGCTGTGCACTGCAAAAGGTTTCTTGCAAGACCGATCATGGTGATTACAATCGCCAGACCTTGCTTCTATCATCCTGACATTTCAGTTTCCTTTGAGCTTCGACATGCCACGGAATGCTAGTTTTCCGCTGCCACAACTCCAAGGAATCTGCAAGTCCAACATGTCAACAATCTCATGTCCCGTGGGTTTAGTTGGATCACTTTGATGTGAAACTCCCACAACATGAGTTTGACAAACTCTGCAAAGTTTGCGTTTGGTTCGCAACGTTTGGTTTTGACAGGCAAGATGATTTCAATCCGACAAACCAAACCTTTGCCTAGCAAACTATACAATGGCACAACCATAGAGTCAGGAAATAGGTCACAGGCAGTCAAATTTATGAGAACATCTGGCATTGACCAAAATGTAGCAAAGATGAAATGGTGAGAAAAGACAATCGACGCTCGGTTGCGCCACAATCTTTTCCTCTGGCATCGCTCAAGATTTGCTAAGGTCGGCGCCCTAACAGGTCAATGCTGGAAGGAGTTCCTGCATTGTCGACATCCTTCACACAGGCCACGGTCTCTGGTCATTCGACTATACTGCATGAAGTTAACTGAGGGTCTCCGGCCGCAAACAAGAAAACCATCTTCATTCAAGGCATGTACAAGTTTGGATACTTTGTGCACCATCAATGCTGCTTCAGGTACCCCAGGGAAATCCGGGAAAAGTGAGGTCATCTCTTTGTCCTCACCCCAGCCTGGTTCACAGCATTCTTCACCAGCTACACCACAGTCGGAAGCCACACTGGACTCTGAATCACTGTCACATGCATCAGCAACCGAAGCATCAACGCCAGCTGTCTGTGGTTCCTCTGCAACTGTTTCTGAGAGCTGGACGACACGGTCAATGGCCGGCAAATCCGGGTTGTAAGATCCATCACGCATCAAACGGAACATCTGCAAGACTTTTGAGTACACAGTTGTAAAAGCTTCTCTTGAATATGTCAGAATGCTCTTCATACTGGGTTCCAGATGATGGCCCAGCAACCTGCGCTCCATGGGGCTGAATGAGATTTTCACGCACCTCCCTGCCCATGTCAAAAGCGTAGACTTGCAGCTGTGAGACCCATACATGAAAACATCCACAGGAGACAAGGACTCTCCAAGGAACTCTCTGAGCCAGTACGTTGCCTCTGATGCACTCATTGGACTATCCGTCCAGCCACTTGCCCTTTCAGAAAAGCTCGGTAAAATGAAATCCTGATACTCAAGTCCTTCCAACATACGGGCTGTTACCCAATCAGCACCCCAGTCGACGCCATTGACACCAGAGCCCAGTGCCACATAAGGCAAATACCTTGTGCGTGCTTCTGCACTGACAGCCGTTTTGGACGCCAGGGCATCAGCATGGACCAGAGTCTCACCGTGCCCTTGCTCCACCCACAGCAGCTTGACCCTCTGTGAGTCTCGCCAGCAACAGCAGGAGTGCACACAAAATAAAAGTTGTCCCAGTATGCACTTCATACTGTTCGGAAGGGTATGATACAAGTCTTCCAAAAACCTCACATTCTCCATGCTCAAAGGATGCTTCTGTTCCAGAGGGTTTTTCATGAGGAACATGTCTTTGGCAACGCCCTTGCAACGCCCTGATATTACAGTTCGAAGATCAATCAAAACCAATCTTGCTGTAGCATCCAAAAAATTCAAAGCCTCCAACATATGCTGTGCAGTTGTGGCTCCTGATCCACTCTCCCGCAAATCACACAGAGCTGTGTAAAGGGCCTCCTCTGTAACCCTCAGAAGGTTTGAGAAGCCACCACTCCTGAGTAGCCGTCCCAAACGCCACAAGGAACTTGCCCTCTTCTGCAACGTCGACGAAGCCTTCATCCTGAAGCAATCCCCAATTGACTGAAGTGCAACCTCATGACTGCAACCTGCCTGCAACATGTTGTGAACACTTGTACCCAACTGCGTAGCCAAAGGGTCTTGTAAAATAATGTCCCTGAGTTTTGCCAATGCAACCCGTCTGAGGTCTTCATCAGGCATTTCTCGTCGCACCTTTCTGAGGTTGATGCTGACTACAGGCGTAGTTGCCCCCACAGACGGCACAGCATCAGCATGTTCAGAAACAACCCTCGACTGTAAAACATCCACGCAACCAAACAGTGATGGCTTGAACATTTCATCAAGGTTTGAAACAGCAGTTCCATTCCACTTGTCAGCAACACCAAATACTGTACTAAATGGAGACTGCTCCCAAGGCATCTTTGTCCTGTCCAACCTCTGTCGCTTGCTCTGGGCAGCCAAAGCACAATGTTGCCAAACGGATTCAACACCCAAAGGGTCAGTCACATCAGGTCCATGTTGAAAAACAGTAGCATCATTCACAGGTGATTCAGGCTCATACAAATCAGAGTTTTCTCTTGCCAAACCTTCATGGATGAGCTCCCAACCATCAACGCAGTCTGACTCGCCAGGGGCTTCAAACAAGTCCAGCCCAGGTGAGGGAATTTCCGGTAAATTGGCATTTGTGTCAAAATCCTGTTCTGAGGAGCCCACCTGTGAAGCAGCTGCAACTGACCCCAAATCAGTCCATCGTCTTCGGAAACCTCGCAGAGGTCTCGGTGACGGGCAACCTGGATCATCTCCATCAAACATTGGAAATGGCAGATACTGAGTCAGCAAAGTAGCAACCAGCAAATGAAGGCCACACCTGTCCAAAATCCAGTGAGAAAACAACGAGCAAGAACGGGAAATTGAAACTTCTTCTCAGCCTTAATTGCCGCTATCAATGCTCTACCCTTGATAGTAGGGTCACCACTGCAACTCCATGGCATCTACCCCCGACCCTACAGTTTTCTGCCGTTCCAAAGTTTTATGGAACCCGCCCACCACCCTTAATCCAAAATTGCTACAACATTGAGTCCTCAAGATATTCAGGTGGTGAAAGTAAGAAAAAACTTGTCAAGATCACAGATACTGTGTTACAACAGTGGATTAAAATTTTGATGACAGGAGATCTTCAGAAAATAAACTCTGACAAAACCCCTCCACAGAGATAACCAAACCATTCCGAAAAAGCAACGGATGGCTTCAGATAAGCCACGGGAAAAAATAATGATTTGGTTTAGGTTCTCTTGTTTGGGTTTTCTGGTTTTCAGAGTTTAAGGGGCAACGTTTCCAGCGCTGGCGTGTTTACTCAGCCGGTTAAAATTCATAAACGGGTATGCGAGCTTCGCGCAGAGACGCGGGGACATGGGAGTATATAAAGAAGAGGTCAGCTGTACATATATATATATACAGACCGGGCTCAGTGGAGCCCTGTTTAGTACTACGGAGAGAAAGTGTCGTCTGCAAGCAGAAGTAATCCTCCAACCATTTGGCCTGGCTAATCCCGCATTCCCGGGCCCGACCTTCAGCTTCTGGTTTTTCAATGCTCACAGCCTGACTCTGCAGTGCATCTTCCCAGGCGCTCTGGTCCTTACCACCTGGGTACCGTGATACCCAAAACACCTGCAACGAACTGAAATAGGGTTATTACGTGAAAAAAAACATAATCATCCAAGTTGGACTCATCCGCCGCTGGCTGATCCGCTGATCCGCTGATCCGCTGATCCGCTGGTCCGCTGATCTGCTGATCCGCTGATCCGCTGGTTCGCTGGTTTGCTGATCCGCTGATGCGCTGGTCCGCTGGTCCTCTGATCCGCTGGCCCGCTGGTCCGCTGATCCGCTGACCCGCTGATCCACTGATCCGCTGATCCGCTGATCCGCTGGTCTGCTGATTCACTGATCTGCTGATCCGCTGATCCGCTGATCCGCTGGTCCGCTGATCCGCTGGTCTGGTCCGCTGATGCGCTGGCCGGCGGGTCCGCTGGCTGATCCGCCGGCCCGCTGAACGCAAAGTCAAGAGTGTAGAACCATGAGCATCTTCGCCGTAATCCAGAGCGCGTTGGAATGCTCCCAGAGAAAGCTGAGAGTGTAGGACACAGCGTGTTGGTTGGAGTTAAAATCGTATTCGCAGCATCAAGAGCGTGTTGCAGCTAAGAGGGTGGTATGAAGAGAGTTGCCGAATGTTTCAAGGAAAAGTTGCGAGCGTAGCTCTTTGAAATCCCAAGCGCAAGTTAAGAGCTTAGCAGCCAGAGCATCTTGGAAGGTCCAAGAGAAAGTTAAGAGGATAGTCTCACGAGCGTGTTGGAAGTTCAAGGGGAAAGTTAAGAGCGTAGCACCAGGAGTGCTCGCGAAATCCCAAGAAAGTGAAGAGCCTACCATCAAAAGCATGTTGGAAAGCCCAAGAGAAAGTTCAGAGCGCAGAATCAAGAGCGTGTTGGAAGTTCCAGGGGCGAGCTAAGAGCGTGGCATCAAGAGCGTCTTGGTAGTTCCGAGAGAAAGATAAATTGAGGGCGTGGTAACGTCACACAGTTGCAACGCTTTTGGGCAGGGGGCCCACATCAATCATTCTGCAGCTGCCATGTCTATCTTCGGAGAAATGGAAAAGGCACACAGCAAAACATGTGCCAGGTCATTCTTTGTCACACCCCCGCGTCAATCCGTAGTGTGCCTCGAAGACAACCATGGGGGCTGTGTCATGGCCTCCAGTGTCAGGCGCAGCATGAGCAGCGGCTGCAACTTCTGGTCGAAGCTGTAAAATTTGGTAAATACTTTGGAAAAGAAGCATGGCATCATCCAATAGAGCGGCCATCTCCCTGTGGAGATATTCATCGTACTTCTCGTGAAACCAGTCGGTGTACTCAGCGAGGCTCTGAATGGCCAAGGGAATAAGTGGTGCCCACCGCTGGAACCGATCGTCCATGACCGAAGACAAAAAAAGGCTCCCTTGGCAGAGCGAGCTGAGAACTGGTCTGGATTGGCTGCTCAGGAAATAGAAGGTCCTCCATCAAAATCAAGGAGTGCGTCAATCCGCCCCATAACTGGAACAGGGAATCGAGGAAACGCGGTCGTCCCAGGAATTGTAACACAGAGGAGCAAGCAGCGACAATGTTTTCAAATTGTCGCACACGGTTGGCAGTGTGCTCACTCAGTTGCTGTTGGAGGAACGCAACACCAACCGTGGCCATGACGGTAAAATTCACTACGTCAGGCGTCTGCATGAAAGCTATGGTGCAATCGGAGGCGGTGATGCTTGAACAACACGGACTCAGGAAGTGATGAAGTCCAACTCAAGAGGGTGGGAGTGATAACAGGGTGGGACAAATTTTGTCACCTTGAGTTGGAAACATTACTTGAAACCAAAAATGGTTATATTTCAAGTGACAGGTAACTGACAAGTGCTGAAGAGTGACATCATTCAAAGACATGTTGGCACTGAAAAACATCAACATGTTTGTTTGCGTTACACTGTTTGAAACAGGCTTGTTTCAAGAGCCGGGCATATAATTTTTGGCAAATGTGTTGGAAACACAAACCGCTTATTCTTTTTGGTTTCAAGAAAGGCTTGCAAGGGCATCGCGAGAACATTGCTGCAGGTCACAGCAGGTTTGTAGTTTTGCGAGGCTTTGAAAATTTGCATAAATTTTCAGCTTACACTTTCTGATTTAAGGCACTATCAACGCGTTGACAGCTTGCAGTATCAAGAGTGATCTCGACGTCCTTAAAAGAGAAAAAGCAAGAGCGTGTTGGAAAAACAAGCAAAATAGGGAGAGAGAGAGTAGCGTCAAGAGCGTGTTGGCAGTTCAAAGAGAAAGTTGAGCGCGTACCATCAAGAGCGTATTGGAAAGTTCAAGGGAAAGTCAAGGGCACAGCATCAAGAGCATGGTGTAAGTTGCACGAGAAAGTGCCGAGCGGAGCATCAACGGCATGGTGGGACGTAGGGTCAAGAGTGTGCTGTTCCAAGAGAACATGTTGGAAGTTCCTAGAGAAATAAAGAGCGTAGCATCAAAAGCGAGGTGGAAGCTGCAAGAGAAAGCTAAGAGCGGAGCGTGGTGGACTGTTCCAGGAAAAACGTATCTTTTGAGGGCCTAGCAACAAGAGCATGTTGGAAGTTCAAAAGGAAATTCAAGAGCATAGCATCCAGAGCGTGTTTGAGTGAAGAGCACAGCATCAAGAGGGTGCTGCAATGTCCCAGAGAAAAGTTACGAGCGTAGCATCAAGAGCGTTCTCGAAATCCCAAGAGCAAGTTAAGAGCCAGCCTAGCATCAAGAGCACGTTGCAATGTTCCCAGAGAAAGTTTAGAGCGTAGCATCAAGAGCGTGTTGAAAGTTTTCAAGCCAAACCTAAAACGTGTTCAATGTTCAAAACCCCAAGAGCAAGCTCACGGCCTAAGCATCCAGAGCGCTTTGGAATGCACACAAAGATAAACAAAAGCGCAGCAAAAGCGCAGCATACAGAGCGTGTTGGAGGTAAAAGCGTGGCATCAAGATCATGTTGGGGGTCACAGCAAGGCATCAAGAGCGTGCTGGAACGTTTCGAGAGAAAGTTAAGAGTGTAGCGTCAAAAGCGTGTTTGTGAAGTTCCAAGAGAAAACCCACAACATGCATCAAGAGCGCGTCCAAAATACCAAGAGCAGGTTCAGAGCCTGGCATCAAGAGCGCGCTGGAATGTTCCAGGAGACGGTTCAAATCCCCGCATCAAGAGCTTTTGCGAAATTTCAAGAGCAAGGCAAGAGCATAGCATCAAGAGCAAGTTCGAATGCCCCCAGGGAAAGTTGAGAGCATAGCATCAAGAGCGTGTTGGGGGTCCTGAGAGAAAGTTTACGGTGTAGCATCAAGAGCGTTTTGGAAGTTCCAGGAGAAAGCTAAGAGTGTAGCATCAATAGAGCGGTGGAAGTTGCGCGAGAAAGAAAGACCTTGGAAACGGTAAGAACATGGTGGAGCATAGCATCAATAGCTGTTCCAGGAAACGTTAAGAAAGTAACATGAAGATCCCGAAGGAAGTTCTTAAGAGAAAGCTACAAGGGTAGCATTGGATGGTTCCAAGAGAAAGTTCTCAAAAGAGCGCCATTGAACATTAAGGCGTGCTGGAAGTTTCAAGAGAAAGGTCAGAGCGTAGCATCATTCAAAGTTAAGGGGGTAGGATCAAGAGCTTGCTGGAATCTTGCAGGAGAAAGTGCAGAGTTTAGCATCAAGAGGGCACCCGCATCACTTAGGGAACCCTCTGACTAGGGCACCCTCTGACGCATCACTTTGGGCACCTGAAATCGCACAGGACGCTCGCTTTGGGCACACAATGATGCATCAGTTTGAGCACCAAGGAATGTTAACGTTCACTGGAAGGGTGGGGTGGGACGTTCACATTCACTGGAACTTTACATCCAAGAACACCCGAGGGGTCGGGTGGGATGTTAACGTTCACTGGAACAACAAGAACACAAAAAACTTGGGATGTTATATAACATTCACTGGAAGGACACATCCAAGATTACTTTCGCTCTTGGCACCTGGACATATACGCTTCGCTATGAGATCTTCTCTTGCACCTGCACACCGACATGATGCCACGCTATCAGATCTTATCCTCCCTCCGGGCTGGGGGGTGAGGTGGGGTGGGTTGATAACGTCCGTTGGCTCTTGGCACAGGGGCTTTTTGCTACGCTATGAGATCTTTTCTTGCACATGCACACCGACATTATGCCCTGCTATCAGATCATCTCCTGCACTTCCACACCGACATGATGCTACCCAGTCAGATATCTGTTGTTGCTGTTTGTTGTTGTTGTTGTTGTTGTTGCTGTTGTTGTTGTCGTTGTTGTTGTTGCTGCTGTTAATGTTGTTGGTGTTGTTGATGGTGATGGTGACAATGATGATGATCATCATGATGGTGATGAGGAGGAGGAGGAGGAGATGATGATGATGATGATGGCGATGATGATGATGATGGTGATGATGATGGTGGTCATGATGGAGATTAGAAGGTGAAGATGAGGATAACGATGAAGGTGAAGACAGCGATGATGATGATGATGATGATGGCGATGATGGCCCTAAGATGGTGATGATGGTCATGACGATGATGATGATGATGATGGTGATGAAAAAGATGATGATGATGATGATGATGATAACGATGACGGCGATGATGACGATGATGATGATGATGGTGATGATGATGATGATGAAAAGGGATGACGCAAATGGTTGTCATGATGCTGATAATGATGATGGTGAGCGCTGATGATGAAATATGTTTGTTGATAATGCTGCAGATGACGATGTTGATGATGACGATGATGATGTTGATGATGGAGATGAAATATGTCTGTTGATGGTGATGATGGGGATGACGATAATGATGACAATGATCCTACTAAGTGGCAGCGCGTTGGAACGAGATTTGGTTACCAGTAGCACGTACCAATACGTAGAGCTAGTTACAGCAGGCGCCCGAAGCGATACATGAGTGGGCGCCCGAAGCGATGCACGAGTGGGCGCCCGAAGCGAGAGCCTTGCCCGTCAAGAGCATGGTGGAGCGTAGCATCAAGAGCGTGCTGGGATTTCCAGGAGAAAGTTCAGAGCGTAGCATCAAGAGTGTTGGAAGTTCGCAGCGGAGGTTCAGAGCGTAGCATCAAGACCGCGCAAAACGCGGCATCAAGAGCATGTCGACATGGTAAGGGCAAGTTAAGACCCTAGCATCAAGATCGTGTTGAGATAAGCCAAGAAAAAGTCAGTAGTGTAGAATCAATGAGTGTTGGGGTTAAGAGCCTAGCATCAAGAGAGCATCGGACTGCTCTAGGAGAAAACTCGGAGGGCATCAAAAATGTGTTGGAAGCAAGAGAGCGCCGAATGCTCCAAGAGAAAGCAAGAGCGTAGCATCAAGAGCTTCTTCGGCTGTTCCAAGACAAAGTTGAAAGAGTAGTATCAAGAGCCTGTTGGAAGTTCGAGGAGCGAGCGCAGAGCTTAGCATCAAAAGCTTGTCGGACTGCTCCAAGCAAAAAAGGAAGTAACATAAAAACCGCGTTGTAAGTTCTAAGAGACAGCCAAGCGTGTAGCATGTGCATTCCAAGAAAAAGTTGTCAGAGCAACATTACGGCTGTGTTGTTGGAAGTTGAAAAAGGAACTGATCATGAAGAGCTTAGCGGCTTAGCGCTCAGAGAGTGGGGCAAGTGGAAGCCCTGATAGAAGTTGGGAGCGCAGCATCCGCGGATCCGCTGAACGGCTGGTCTGCTGATCCACTGGCGCGCTGATCTGCTGATCTGCTGGTCTGCTGATCCGCTGGTCCGCTGGTCCGCTGGTCTGCTGATCTGCTGATCCGCTGGGCTGGCCAGGCGGCAGGAGGATCATGAGTGCCAAGTTGGTGATGTTGAACCATAACCATATGCTTGGGTGAAATTTAAGTGTGAAACTGTGAAACCAATACCCTAAGTTTGAGAAACATCCAAAGAAACTGCTCATTCTCCAGCACCAAGCAACCCGTGAAGATACATTCGTGCAGAAATCTCCTGGAACGTTCATGGCCAGACCGCTTCACAAGACAGTAGCTACTAGTACGGTAGTTGCACATAGCTACGCCATTTTGACCCAATTTATTGACTTTTAAGGTCTCACAAGATTGACTTCCCCACCACCGTTACAGGGTTTCAAGTATGGACTTTTGATATCCTGCACTTGAAAAAGGTTCAAGGTATATGAAACGTTTGAGCTGATATCGGGCCAAAATCCCAAATTCAAGACCTCCCTTCAAGATCATTGTGGACTTCAACAAACTCCACAACAAGATATGAACATTAAGCTGTGCCTTTCGGTCGAGCCCATGGCTTCGCTATGCTCCTGAATCGGAGCTGAATCTCTGCCTGGCCCTTGAAAGTGCAACCATCGTAGGCATGCTGCAAGGCACTCAAGATTTCAGGCCACCTGGGTGTGATGCGATCCGCTGTGATCTACATTGGTATGCCATCGCCGCACCATACCTGATTGCCTTGATGCCCCTGTCGGAAATGCCAACGAAAACATTGCCATCTCAATGTGTGAACAAAATGCGGGCAGCGCTCTCTGTTTTGGACCACAAAAGGCCTAGCACGTAGAATGTCAATGACATGGTTTTCATGTCATGTGTTTGCACGTTTCAGTCTCGATTTGTGCTGTCATCCTTGTGCATGAGTACAACTGTTAAATCTTCGTACTCCTCCTCAAAAGTCTGAGCACTAAGCTCTGAATTTTGTTTCCAGCTTCTTCCACGTTTCAGTCAGACATTGTATCTGGCTCCCATCTTTTCAAAGCTTTCACAAGACATCTAAAGATAGTCGCCCTGCATGATTCCATTCAAATCATTCACATACCTTTGGTAGATCTCGGACATATGTTCTCGTCCTCGATTTCTTGCATAGCGGTGGAGCCGTTGGAAAACTCCCCTGATGGAAGTCACCACAGGCATAGTCGTTCCGGTTGGACGGGATCCGGAACTGGCATTCAGGACTGTCATAATGGCCTGCTGCATCTGCGAGGCATCATAGTAAAGGTCCTGGGCCAAAGCTTCGTTCTGATGGTTTCGCATTGAATGCAGCTAAGTTGACATGCCAGCTACTGTGCCAACTTCTTCTTCATCCTCTGTTTGAGGCTCCTCTTCTGCTTCTTCACCAGGCTCTGCATGATCGTCAGTTGTATCAGCCATATTCTGACGATGATTCCATAGAACGAAATTCGCTCGTTCTTGGGTGAACATGTGAGTTCGTTGAGCACTTGTCAGCACTGTGTTTCTTACGAAACCACCATACTCCATCAATCCATAACGGATGCAATCCGTCTCATCATCTAAGACTGCAAAATTCTCCCTGAGATCTTGGTCTAAGGATTGTAAACCTGACATGAAGTTCGTTCAACCTTTCTGCTAATCCTGGTCCATCATTGACCAGCCAATTCAAGTTATCCAAATGTTCGCACAACCATGCTGCATACTCATAGTGATCTCCAAGTTGCTGTTGAATGCTTTCAACATCCTCAACCAGGCTTTTCCATTTGCGCCGTGCAAAAATTGCTAACGCAACCAATCCCAGCAAAAGGATAAACATCATTCCAAACATCCAAAATTTCCATGAAGTCACATTGTTTTCTGAGACTATTGGGGGTCCATCACATTGCTGACCCATCACTCCCAGTGGCTCAAGGCCCATTGCAAAGGTCAAACTCATGACTTTTGTCAGCTTCTGCAACTGATTTCGATGGCCTGTCTTCTAGGCCTGCTCATGATATTCTTGTTCTCCAACGCTCTCAAAGGTGTTCACATACACCAATCCACTCTCATACATCCACATGAGCAAGAAAAGACGTTTCTGCTGAAGGCACTTGGTACCTATATCTGCAACATTCCAAACCGTAGGCACTTGCTTCAAAGTCACAGATTTGTCATTGGTTTTCTGTTGAATCCACAATATCTTGCCTGACTTTCCTGACACATGTCTCAGGTGTCCACAACCTTCACGTGATGCAATCTGACGTGCTGAAGAACTGTCAGTGTGGTGAACATGCTTCACAGTCGTCCCAAAGATGAATTGGACAACAATGAAAATTCCATCGCACATCGCACTGACAATGCTATGCAGCTCTGATTCGCAGGATGAAAGGGATATGGTTCTTTGGTTTCTGCTGCTGCCAAAGACAAACGCATTGTTCAAATAATGCATTCCGCATGAGGTCGATTTTCGATGATCTTTGTTTGAAGACCTATCTGCATCAGAGTAACTCTCCAGAATCCAAGTTGTACCTCCATCTGAAAAAAAAATCCCTTGTCCAGGCATAGGTACACCCAAACGCAAAGCTAAGTCACCAACATGTTTCATATACCCAACCAGTTTTCTCAAACGTTGCACTGAAGTCAAAGTTGGGGCTGCCATGCTGCTTGCAAGTTCTTTGATGGTGAACATAAGGTCTGGACGTTCCCTGCTCACGTAGAGGCACAGCCTGATAATGGACCTGTAAGAACTGCAATCCTTGGAATTCAATTTCTCTGACCCATCGGGCAATTGAATGCTAGAGTCACATGGCACTTTCTGCTTGCGAGCAACACCAAATGCTGATTCAAATGCTTTCACAACCTTCTCAACTGAAGTTCCAGGCGTAAGCATCAACCATCCATCCATCTCAGTGATTTTCCTTTTCAAAAACGTAACGCTGGTTCCCAAGCCATTGAGTTGGGAATGGCTCACTGAAAACTTCTCACTCATGCCTTTGAGAAATGTGTTCTCCCAAAAGGACTTCTTGCCAACAAACATGATGTCGTCGACATGGATGAGGATAGTGGCATGCTGATTCTTCGCCAAACAAGGTTGTTCACTGCAAAACTCAAAATCATATGCATCTCTGAGGTGCTCACGCAAATGTTGAAACCATTGTCGAGCCCCCATTCTCTGACCAGGCAAGTTACGCAAGATCACAAAAGGTTGGTTTTGAAGAGAAACCAAAATGGGGTTCGGCTGCTCCACCTGAAGGAAAGCATCCGTCACATCCAAACAACCCATAACAACCTCATAGTCACCTTTGTTTTCCATCTCCATTGCCTGCTGCTTTTGCCAGAGATAGTGAATGGGTAACAGATTTGCAGTATGCGCTCCAGTTGCCGGACTGAAAGTGTCCAATCTTTTGTCATTCGCAAACTCTCGTGCAACAAATCTGGAACGACGCATCCACCTCAAAGTTTTCTGTTCCCCATAGGGCTTCAATCTCCAGTCTCTCACAAAACATGTTGTAAGCTTGCCGCTGACATCACCCTGATACTCATCTGCACGAACCAAAACCTTCATGCTGCACAAACGTTGAATCTCTACCTGATCTGCTAGCTCGTCTATCCAAGCTTCTGGTGCATAGCTTGGGATCACATCGGCCGGGGCATCTGACCACAATGCTTCTGGGATGTCACCCAGTTTCACCTCATCTTCACCATGCAAAAACTCATCATCTTCACAAAGATCGTCATCAACATTGGTCTGTGGAGTAATCATCCATCGTGAAATATTCCTGGTAGGCTATTCGAACTGCACTGAGTCGTTCTTCATATTCCAGTTGAAGCCTATTGATTCTCTGTTTCTTGGATTCCTCCACCTTTGCCCTTTTTGATTCCTCAGACTCAGCTCCTCCTGGATTATTGGCTCTCACTGTCGAACTTCCACGCGGACTGTCCAAAGTAACATCATCCCTTGGAGGGGTTACAGGCACTGCCAAACCAGGATCACTCAAAGGAACTGGACCTGCGGCTTCAGGATTATGTACCCACACCACTCCATCACCAACTGGCTGACCATCATCAAAAACTGTAGGCTCTTCCTGCAGCTGCGCTTGTTGTTGCTGCTGGACCTGAGCATGAACGTTGATGGGGTCATTCAAGCTCATTGCAATCTGCTCCTCCTCAGCCTTTTTCTCCTGTTCTGCATACTGAATCACTGCTTCAGCTTCGGGATCATGTAACTTGCTACTTTCGATCGGCGCCAATGGCACTTCGAGACTTGCAGATTGAGGAATGGCCTTTTTCATGGTGGGCAAAATCCTGGCACCAAAACCTGATTTGAATTGCCATGAGTAACACTTGCAGTGGCAGTGAAGGTAATATGCAAGATGGCTCCTCCAGGTCGTACTGATTCTTCGAATGCTCTTGGAAAGAACAATGGACTGTCCATCGAAAAGCACAAAGCTGTTTTGAGAATCAGCTTTCCCCAGAAAAAGCGCTCGTCTCCATCGTGCAGCTGCTTTGTTGGTTCCTGGGTGCACATAGCCATACACAGGCTCGCCATATTCACAGAGGTCTCCTTTGTATTGCCTGCCAAGTGCAAGCTCGTAAGGGGTGGCTCCCCTCAGCACTGAAAATCGACTGATCCGCCATGCTGCATGTCTCAAAGCCCATGTCCAAATAGCTGAACCTGTAGACAACTGAAGTCCAAGCCTTCCATGCAGCTGATGCATCAAACTTGCTGCCAACTGTCGAACACGAGCAATTCCATTTTCTGCCAAAGAATTCCCATGATCGTAAGTTTTGAGTCCCATGCTTTGGCGAGTCTTTGTAGCAAGGCGCTGCAATTGCAAGATGGCTGTCTCATTGTCACAACGCAGAACAACATCACTGTGTCCAAGTCGTTGGATGAATTGCACCAACTCACGGTTCATATGATCCAACTGATTATTGATTGCAAAGGCACGCATGAAATAAATCCAGTGACACTGCAAACGATGATAAGGCTCAACACCGAATCAGGAGTTTCTTCTGTGAGCTCCTCCTGTCCATCAGCCTTCGTGTAAAAGAAATCAAAGGAAATGGTGGGGATACTTCCTTCGTGTGATTCACCAGTTCTTTCATGACGATTGGGCCGAGCACGATGCATCAAACAGCTGGGGCACCAATTTGCGTAAGGAAAATGTGTGAGTCGATGTTTCGCCTGTTCCAGTTCTGAAGGCGGTTCTGCAGTTGGAGGGGCATGAGGTTCCCTTTCCAATTCTTTCTGACTGTCTTTGGCGGCTGCCATGACCATCTCAAGCTCCAAACGTTTCTGGTGCTCTGCAATACGCTGGAAGCACTTGACCTTAGAACCTGAACTCGACAAGTTGTAGAAAGCACATCCAGCACGCAAAGCTGCCAACGTACTTGTAGGTTTGAGCTTGGTTCCATTGACAGTGATTTCATCATCTGGACCTGCACGAACAACAATCTGACCCACTGGAATTTCTTGGCCCTCAACTTGCATCTCGGCCACATCGATGTCCACATCCTGTCCATCATCGTCCTGGGGCAAATCACAATCAGGTTGAACAGGAAACGTTCAGGTGAATCATCCATCAATTTGAAACCCATCACCATTGGATCTTTTTCTCCATCGGTCAAGATTGTAATCACATTTCTCCTTCCTTGCAACTTGTGAAATTCGGAATCAAGCTGAATGAGATCTGGGACGCTTTCGCACAGCTCAACCACATACCATTTCTTGTCATCACCCTCAATCAAAGTCGTTCGAAAAAGGGGTCCTGAAACACCAGGTCGAATCAATGTTGGGTCTTGGAACCTGTCTGCAAAATGGCGTCCTATTCCACGTCCAAAATCATCAAGCTCCCAACCAACTGTGCCCTGAACAATGTAATCCATCACATCAGCTTGAATTGCACGCACATGAAAATCACCTGCAGAAGAAGAAAACTCCTCACACAACATTCTGATTTCACCTTGCACTACCATGGACTTGTTTTGCAACTCAATCGGAATATGAGCCCCTGCCATATGTGTCAACGCTTGCTGCTGTCCATCAACACACCAACCATTCTCAAGCAAATGTCCAAAGCACAAGATCGGCCGATTCACCATACTGGATACAGCCGCTCGCTCCCTGATGAGAACTGTTTTTCCTGTGATGTCACGTAATCGAATCTCCATATCTTGCACTGATTCAACTGGAATTTCTCTACCTTGAGCATCATGCAACTTTCCAATGGCATTGTGAACCTTGTGGCCTTTTCCCAAGAGGCTGACTGGGAAAATTGAGGCATCGGCTCCAGAATCCAGCAAGATGGTGTGGAGCTTCTCTGAATCACTGCATGAACTTCCAACTGTTTTAAAAATATCGCTGCAAGAAAACGCATCGTCACTGACATCACCAATGAAAAAGTGAGCAACATGAAGGTTTCCATGAAAACTTGCAG